GCACGTACTTGACACAGAATAAGCTCATTTTAACTGAGGCTTATGCCAACATATTTTACTCAGAGTGCATCCCGGCCCCGTCGCTGACAGTAATTCATTTATGCACAGTAATTCGTCCTCTAGGAAACACCTCTCCCTGTTCCTGGACCTGCTCAGCCCATGCACCCAGGAACTCACACTCATCCACTTCAGCTCTCCTTGCTGGCTGCCACCGGCTTCTCTTCTCCCCTGTTACCTGAAACACATCTGCAAAAATTATCTTCCTCACTTCTCCTTCAGATTGGGATTAAACCATACCTGCCTTAGGGCAATACTTCATTAAAAAAAAAAAAATCCGTTCCCGCCAGGAAGACCCTGCAAAAAGCTCTACTCTTTCCTTCCTGTCCACTTGGATGCGAGCAAGCTGATCTGCACTTTGCCAAGTTGCCAGCGACTCATTTGAGTCCATCTTCCCTAAAAAGGGGATCCAACAGGAAAAAAAGATTTCTTTTAAAGACTGACGTTTGCAGCAGATCAGCCTCCAAGCCTCCCCCCCATCTTTTTTCTTTTTTTTCCTCATGCAAAAAAGCCACCAGTTACCAGTGGATCAGTGTGCCGCACCTCCCTGTCCCGAGGCATCCAAAAGCAAGAACAGGCAGTTCCCTTCGCTGGGTTTGCCCGACGTATCTCCCTCTGCTTTCACGCTTTCTAGGAGACGTGCACAGCCCAGAGAACAGGATCTCGACTCCTGCCTTCCCCTCCTGGATGTGCTTTCAACTGTAAACAGCCTACACAGAGCCCGACGGGACTGGCAACCGCGCTCCAGGCCTGGAGGTCTCTCTGCTGCCGAGAGGAGGGTTCCCCATCTCCCATCTGCGCAGCCGAGGGTGGAGACAGGTTTCCACCTGACACCTTATTGATTTTGTGCGGGAAGCTCAGCAGCCTCGCCCAGAGCTGGAGGCTTGTCAGCATTTAAACTGCTTCTGATATAGAAATCACCAACTGGAACAGCTCTTCTGTGCCGCAAGTGCCCCATTGCCCTAAATGCCGCTATAGGTTTGTTTATCCTATGCTAACTTGCAAGATACGCTCCTGTACTGATGCCTTATTTCCTCTGTTTGCGAAAGCAGAGAGCTTGCTAATCCCCCTTTACCCACGTCAGAGTCCTAATGTTCTCCCCGGGCTTCCATCACAACTCGATAATCCTGGCTCATCTGCAGCCGTAAGCATGGTTCCCTTTGGTTGTATGGAGAACTGGGTTTAAATTTTTTGAATGACTGGGGGGATGGAGAAGGGCAAGACTCACTGTAGGCTCCTCTTAGTGCCCACCTGCACGCTGCCATACCACCATCAGGCACATCAGTGCTCCCAGGAGCATCTCCAGCAGCACAGGGAGGAGATACATCACTAAAATGTGCTTTGGGGCCAGGAAAAAGAGCAGCAGTTGCCACCGCACGTGAGGACCAAGGTGCACAAGCAAGGATCCATTGGGTCTCTGGCTATGCCTAGCTCAGGTCTGTTAAATCAGTTCCCCGGTCACAGGTTGATTTCACATCTTCCACTGCCACTTCTCCTCTTCCCAACGCCAGCTCTTTCCACCGTGCCTCCTTCCATGCCCTGTTTTGAACCCCAGCTGGAACTTCGAGCATATCGCCCCTCTCGCCTTCAAATCGGCCCTTCAAAATGCCGCACACTGCGCAAAACTGCAATAACCCCAGGCTTGTGACGACACCGAGGCCATTAAACCGACCTTCCTTGGGCAGGGAGTCTGCTCTGTCCTTCACGGGCAGCACTGCGCACTGCTACAGCCCTGCGCAGGTACTGCTTAGGCAAAAGCTTCATCAATATTTAAAGATGAAGCCAGGAAGCCCGTAGCCCAAGCAGCTTTCAAGCCCCCGATCAGATCAATGTCAAACAAAAGGCTGCAGTATGAGGATGCTCCAGTGAGCGAGGCCCAGACTGCAGGCTGGCACCGTCACCTCTCCTTCCCAACACCGATCGAGTTTCTCTCCTCCGGCCCCAGCGGGCTGGGACGGCTCCGGCACCAGCCCATCACACGGAGCTGCCCATAGCGCACACCGAAAGCAGCCCCAGAGTGCACAGTTTCCTCTTACCAGAGCATTTTCAGTTTCCAGCCAACTTCAGAAATCGGTGCTGCTACAATCCCCTCCACTTGCTTTGAATATTACTTTCTTTAATGCCAGCCACTTAAGAACAAAACATCTGAGGCTCAAACCATGGGGTCATCGGTTCCAGCATCCCGACTCAGAGCAGATGCTCCAGAGTAGCAAGAAAACCATAATGCACTTAGCTAGTTTGACACTGCATGGGAGCAGGAGATCTTATTTCCCTTAGCTATAAATGTAACCGATCACAAGATTATCCGCAGCCCTTTTGCAGTTCAGCCACGCTGCTGGGCTCCCTACTCACTGCAAGACCAAATTTAGCCCTAGCTGCCGAGACATCCACGAACATACAGAATTTGCCTCTTTTTAGCCATCTTGGTTCTCTTGTATCACTTAATTATTATTCAGATGCCAGAGAACAGATGGGAAAAATACCATATCAAGATAGAAACAAAAAATTTAAAAAAGAGAATAATTACGTCTAACGGCTAAAATCAGGAATGAAACACCTTACCTGACCTCAAGCAATTGTTAAACTACTGTCTCAGTTTCCCTATCAATAAGACGGGGGTAAATTTATGCCCCTTCCAGGGAAAGTGGTGTGGGTAAGGGATTGGAATCCCTCAGAAAGGACCTACAGAAGGATAAGAGCATTCCTAGAGAGAAGTGCTTATTGGAAATATCGGCAAAGTAAGACTTTGCAAGCAATAGCGAGCAGGGGGAATGTGCTGGTTAATACCATTATGGCTCTGGCAGTCATTTCCCCCCTCTCCTTCCTGCAACCAATTGCACCAAATCACTCCCCATTTCATCTCCTCCCGACAGAATGGCATGCAGAGCGGTCCCCACTGCATCAAATAACCGAGCACCGGTGTCCAGGAGGATGCTCACACTCACACCCTGGGCTTCAGGGTACGGAGAAGGCAGACAAATCCTCCGCGACAGTGCCAGCGCTGAAAATCCATCTGCTCTCCATCCCCAGACAGAGACA